ATTTTTGCTTAAATGAGAATTAATTTGATTGCAAATAATTTTTGTGGTAATTAAATCAGATCTAAGGAGGTAAACTATAGTTGTATCAAGATCTTGTTCCCCAATTTTATCAAGTTTGTATATTTTATCAATTCCATGATTTCTGAAAAATTAAAAAAATTAATTTATAATATTTTTAAAAAGAGTGATAATTGTAAATAAATAATATTTTTGAATTATGTATAAAAAATTCTAATGTATTATGAATGAAAATTAGTAAAATGTAACAACTCGACCTCTTTCCTGCCTCCTTAAAATTTATTTTTGCATTTCAATTCATTAAATTATTAATCCCTTCTTGAATGAAGTAAAAAATAACAAGAAAATAAAAAAGGACTGGAGTCAATAAAGTGAAAAAACAAAATCATAGTAACATCCCAAGCTTAAGTAATCATTAAATCAAATAAGGTAAATTTTTGAGCATTCAAATAAAAAAAAACTAAGTTGAGAAAATCAAGTTTTTCAGTCAAAATTAATCATAAATATAATTTCCATTTGAAATTCTATTTAGTCATTTTCGTCAAAAATTTTTTTTCCTATCGTTTATCAATTGTAAGTTGAAGCTCTTGAAAAACTAAAACAAAAAGTTTTTTTTACTATAAATTCGGACATTATGCTTAAAACATTCAATTCACCTAAGCGTTGAAGCTCCTATAAATCTATCCAAAGGTTTCATTAAACTAGGTTCAATAACAAGGTTTTTTCTTCCAGGTATTTTGTCCAGAATTTTTGTAAGTTTTTTTTTAGATATTTCAGCAAGAGCCTCTATTCTATCTAAAAACAGTGAAGACATTTTTAGTGGAAAAAAAAAAAACTTAAAGAAAAGGATTTGAACTATAATTATTTAATCTTCCATTAAGTTATTGTTTTTAAGTTTTTGTATTTTAACATAAATACATGTACGTAAAACACTGCCTTTTCGAAAAGGTTAAGAAAGATGAAATATGACATCCGGTTTAACTTAAGTAAAGCCTAATGACCCGAAATTCATTTTGAATTAACGAGTGCGTGAAAACTGTTAAAATATAAAAAAAAAAAAAAATAAATTGAACTATTGAACTGTATTTATAGATTCATTTGGGTTTTTATTTTTAATTTATAATTATGTTTTGGGGTAGGTTAATATATAAAAAAATATTTTTTTTAAAAAATGCTTTATATGTAAATTTCTGTGTTCAGGGTTTAGCGTCCTCAACTTTCTGAATATTTAAGAAAACACTTAAAAAAGTCAAGTAATTACTAACATGTGAAATTGATTCACTGTAGGTGTTTATATTCATTTTTAAAATTAAAATTTAAAAAAGATTAAAACCGGTAAAATTGCCTAAGAGTAGAGCACGTGGATGTTAAATGCAACCTATCTGTATGTTTTATTATTAATCGTTTCAATGCGTTTTTTTTTTTTTCTTTTAAGTATTGAAAATTATACAGAAATGCAAGGCTGACTTATTCAAAACTTTATAAAAAATGCTAAAAAATAAAATGAACTCTTAAATTAAAACTCAATTCAAAATACGTAGTTATGAAATTAATAATGCAACAACTCGTATTTATTTACAAAACTCGTGTATTAACAAGTGTATGTTTTTAATTTATAAAAATTACTACATCTTAATATTATTTTACAATTTTTATTTTTATCGTGTAGGAGTACATAAAGAAAGCAAATCAATTATAACATAAATTTTATGCCCAAGGTCTTAATAATTTAGAAATTTAACAAATCATTAAAATAAAAAAATATTTTTATTGCAGGTTTAGTCTTAGAACCACACAAAAAGTATACCCAAAAGGTAGCTCAAACATTTCATATTTCTCAAGCTGCCTTAGATGTGAAATCAACATTTGGAGAACCAGTACAATTAGTAGTCGAATATGAAAACTCAAATTTTATTCTCGGAACTCTTAGTAAAGAGGCTAAAATTTTTCAAATACCTTTAGATCTCATTTTTAAAGTTGGAGATCAAGTTTCATTTAGGGTTATTGGTAAAGGAACTCTGCATTTGTCTGGTAAGTTTTGTTTTTCTTTTTTTAATAATTTTTTTATTTTAAACAAATACATTATTGTAATTTATTTTAATGTCACTAATTAAATTTTAATTGTTTTCAGGGTATCATGTTCTTGATGACTTTGATAACATGCTCATGGGACAAGAAGAAGAGAGCGATTACGAGGAAGAAATGGAAGTTGAAGAAAAGTTAAAAAAAAGAAAGAAAAAAAATTTAAATGTCAAGGAAAATAAAAAAGCAAAATTAGATAAAACAAATGAATATGAAAGCGATGACAGCAATGAGAATTTATTAGGTAAGTTATTATTAGTAGGTTTTTAAAATGTGCCCCTCTTTTCCAAAAATAAATTAACAAGATTTCTCTGTAATTATATCTACATTTAAGTTTTTTTTTTATTTTAAAATAATGTTTATTGTACAGTTTGCATTATTTTAAAAAGCATATTATAACTTTCATTAAATATGGTTCAGTGTAATAAATTTTTACTTAAAATTTATCTTATGTATTTCTGAAACTGTATTAGCTCCTGAACCATTTGCATCCAAATTACATTCTGTACTTCTTATCTATCAGAATAATTCTGTCTATGCAAAAAAAATTCATATGGTGCTGTGAAAAAAAAGAATTTAAAAATGAAGTCTTATCTGTATTTTAACATTTAATATTGCCTTTTTTTTTTTTTTTTTTTTTTTACAGTTAAGCCGAAAAAAAAAAAAGAAAAAAACAATTCTTTGAGTAACATAAAGGACAGTGAAAATGATGGCAATGATGGGAGTGATAATGAAGATGATGCATATAAACTTGATGATCAAATTAGTGATGAAAATGACAATGAAGATGAAGATTTTGATAGTGAGGAGGATGCAGAATTTTCTTTTGAGGAGGAAGAAGATGATGATGATGATGAAGATGGTGATGATGATGATGAAAATGATGATGATGATGATGAAGATGAAGACGATGACGACGACTATGAAAGTGGAAACGATAGTGAAGTAGAAGGTGGTTAATAATTTTTATTTAAAATTCATTTTCATTAAACTTATTTCTTTTCATTCACATTCAAAATTATTTTCAGATGGTAAAGAAAAATTGTCTTTGACATCAGAATCGCCCAAAACTCCTAATGGAACTGCACATAAGTTAAAGAAAAACAATAAAGTACCTTCAAAACTCAATAAGAGTTTAGAATCAAAATTAGATAATTCTCAAGATATGAATAGTTCAAACAGTGAAAAAAAAGGAAAAAAGCAAAATAAAATTTTAAATGAAAAAAAATCATCAGATAAAAAAAAATTAAATGATTCAAAAGATGATGAAAAAACTCCCAAGGGTAAAAATGAGAAAAAAGTTTTAGAAGGTGGAGTCATTAGTGAAGAAATTAAAGTTGGACATGGACCTCTAGCAAAACCAGGAAAAATGGTAAAAATGCTTTTTCTATTTTAAAAATAAATTTCCTAACCATTAACCATTAAACCCAAAATAATTAAACACTATTAATGAATCACAAAATCATCAAAATCATTTTTATAAGTTTTACCATTAGTGTTAAAAATATTATAATTCTTAAATTTTATTTTTTGCAGGTTAACGTTTACTACGTTGGATCATTGCAATCAACAAAAAAACAATTTGATTCAGTTCAAAGTGGCCCAGGTTTTAAATTTAGATTAGGTAAAAATGAAGTTATTAAAGGTTGGGATATCGGATTAAATGGAATGAAAGTAGGTGGTGTTCGAAAGTTAACAATTCCCTCTCATTTAGCATATGGTGTTAAAGGATCCCCACCAGTCATTCCTCCTAATTCTACTCTAGTTTTTACTGTTGAATTAAAAGGACTAAGTTAATCCTTTTTTTTCCCCCCCAAGTCTTTTTTTTTTTTTTTTTTAATATTTTTAATTTTAAAAATTAAATTTACTTTATGGCATAGCTTTAAAACTGTGTTCATTTAAAAAAAATGTAAACTTTTCATTTTATCTGTATATTTTTTTTGAGTTATTTATTCATTCATGATTGTACCAGTGTTTAGATTCAAAGTGAAACCTTCAAATATATAGTTCATTTAATACACATTCTCCTTTGTTCTGTCTGTTAATAATGTAGATCTTTCGTCCTTGTTTAATGTTACAATATTAATAAAAAAAATAAAAAATAAAAAGAAAATGTTAAAAACTTTTAATAAATTATTTTTCTTAGAAATATGTAAATTTATTTTATTTTGTAATTTAAATTTTCAAAAATAAATAAACTTTAATAGCCGGTGATTTTAAATTAGTTATCAATTACTGAAAAAATTTTAATAAATGCCAAATAAAATGTGGTAAATTAATTTTTTCTTATTATTTTATTTCGTTATAATTTTATATTTGATGGATAACTTGCACACAATAAATAAAAAGTTATATTTTTTTTAATAAAATTGGATGTCGCATATTAAAAATTTTTTTTTTTTTTGAATGAAATATAAGTAGTAATCATTTTTCGAATCCTACAGACATCATCATTATTAAAAAAAATTTGAATAAAATTTTTTTTTTATGAATTCATTTATTTTTATTCGCAAAATACGTATAGGTCCTTTTATTTAAAAAATTATGCAATATGGCGTAAATTTGTTTTCTTTTAGAATAATTGTTAACAAATTGTTTAACAAATCGTTTTTTTCCGACTCATATTTAATATTTCGATGTCACTTTTCATTTTACTTGGCAATAATTAAACCGGAAATTTCAATGATTGCAAGTTAGTTTGTTTATTTAATTTAATTTAAATTTATAAAAAATCGTATACTTAACAAATTAAAAAAAAATCATTTTTTTTTTTTTTTTTTTTTTTTTTTTTTAAA